ACTGTTAAATAACAAATATTTTCTTTGTCCTGGCGCTGTAATCCTGTGTTCCAAGGTCGCAAACGGAAAGGCATAATTATTTGTATCTGAATACCGTCATACAAAGAAGATAGGAAAAGTCTCTCATCTTCGAATGGAAGACCGAAAAAACTACACAAAACATATTGCTCCTTTTGGAATTCCTCGAAATCCTCATACAACTCAGAAGGTTGAAATAGGAGTAAACGTACAAAATTTTTCGCAATTATGAGTAAAGGTACTCCATACATTCTAAAAAGACATTGAAAACATAACAAGCCGCTTCTTATTAGCATTCCATGTGGAATGAAATCCCAGGAGTCTACTATATCCATTCGCCTGTCCTCCGTGGTCGTTTCCGTTTCTCCTACTTCTGCCTCTATCTCCTCAATCTCTTCGTGTTCGCTCTTCTCCTTACGTTTACCCCAAATTTTTTCAATTATCTTTTCCCTTTTCGCCTTTGCCTTCGACAAAATTTCACTCCANGTCATAACTACATTTAATAAGAGGAAGAAGTCTTCGCAGATGAATCAAGCATATCTGTGGCACCTTAGACTTGGGCACATCAACCTTAAGAGGATTCAAAAGTTAGTGGCCAGTGGACATCTCGGTCCATTGGAAGAGCACTATCCAACTTGCGAATCATGCCTGGAAGGTAAGATGGCCAAGAGGCCGTTTACGACAAAGGGGTATAGGAGCCAAGAAGTGCCAGGATTGATTCATTCTGATTTGTGTGGTCCTATGTCGATCCAGGCTAGAGGAGTTTTCGAGTACTATGTGTCTTTCATAGATGATTTGGTGTAACTGGTTATTCCTTACCTCGGGACCAAAATCTACTAGAATTAGAATAAAAGAAACTTCTTGAGTTGTAGGGAAAAAAAAGAGGGGTATTTACTTTTTCTTGGATAAAGGAACAGATTACTCGTCGAAGGGTTAGGGTGTTAGGTGGACGAAAGGATAATTTTAGGAAAAAGATCTAAAAGATCTCTTTCCTTTTTTTTTTTTTACAACTTNTGTCGCCTTATATAGCGTAGAAAATATAGTTCCTCTGGCTCTTGATTATTGGTAGAACCAGAAGCCTTAGCACTGTCGCGCGTATCAAATTCTACGTCACACACAGCTTTTCTTGTACGAATATCAGAAGTTTCGCGCTTCTTCTCGTCATCGGTCTCGCCCGGTATTGCAAGTTCTAAGTCGTCAAATAATCTGTATAACCACCAAAAGACTTTTTTCCTGAGTTCTTTTATTCTAATTCTAGTAGATTTGATGAGATTTTTTTGATCAATAACATCAGTTGCAACTTTTTTTAGATATTTTCCAAGAAGGATACGATAAATTCGATTCGTTCCAAAATTTTCTGCGGATTTGTCTACCAGAAGTTTTTTTTGGATTTTGGCAGAAAATGTTTTCTTAAATATGCTATTTTGTTCATTTTTTGATTTGTCGATTGTTTTCCGAGATGATCCACTCAGGAAAGGATCATATTTTTTTGCAAGGTATTCTTTTGTATAAGGGTTTTTACATAACCGAGTCCTTGTTTCGAGCATATTCAAAGGTCTAGATTTTTCGTCTAGGCCTTTAATTCGATATAGCAAATCGTCGGTGAAACCTTTCCTTTTTAGATGATACCGCCAAGGGTTGTAGGGTGAAGCTTTTTTG